TGTTTTAGCAATTAAGTAAATGTACATCAGCATATTATTTGTCCATAAGCTAATATTCGTAGCTTAGGAGCTTCTCTGGAGTCCTGAGGAAACACTTCGGCATCGCCTTTTCTTAGACAAGCCCTGCATTATTGTCATTAGTGTCACCAAAACTTCCACATGTAACATTAAATTTATAATGGGCATGACTACTGAGAAAATACTGAAGTAGTGAAAATAGGAATGGAATGACATAGTTATACTTCGTATACTGTGCATTACTAATAACTATCCATTTTTTGACCATTATTAATCAATATCGTATTGAACTAAGACACAAAGTTAGAAGAAGACAACCCCTATTTGGTGTGGATTAAAATCTTGACAAAAATCTAAGTCAAAGTCAACAATTAATTTTAATCAAATATTTTATGGGATCTACAACTTTTTAACCACACGTCTTCAATTTTTATCAAAATCTTCTAAAAATCTGATTTTTAGCTTACACCAAACAGGAGCTAAATGTTGGAGAAAAAGTAATATGATACAAGTTACAGTCGGGAAACGGACAAACCAGCCATGGCTTTGCATAATGTGGATCCAAAAGGAAATGAACTTCTAGTTGAAGTTAAGTTGCATGTTTAAACTAGTCTAATCAAGCGCAAGTGAGTTCAATGTTAGCAACGAATAATGCTACGGTTATATCATATTTGCAAGGGAAATTTGTAGGGGAGATCCAAAACCTTTCAAAACAGTACATATAGGTTCCGAACCTTTAAATCGTAGTAGATACGTTTCAAATCAATTAAAAATGTACGGTAGGACTTCTGGAAAATTTCTGTCCAAAAATCCGTTAGTCAACTAAAAGTTTCAGCGTTTGACCATTTTTTAAAGAAGAAATTGGTAACGCTACATTTTCCCACCTAAAACTATTAAAATATTAAAAAAAAAGGTAATAATAAAAAAGAGATATTTTTTCAGGTTCTTCCGCAGAAATTTTCCCCCACCCTCATTCTCACTCTACCTCTGCCATGCATAGTAAGGAGATTGGGAAAAGTTTCACACCCCAACAACCTTCTCTCTCATGGAACAACCCATTGATTTCTAGGAACTCCACCCCGTGATTTTGTGGCTTCTCTATATGTATATGAGTGTTACATGTACAGAGATATATATGTTTTGAATTTTGAATTCTAAAATCTGAAATTGAATTTGTAGCCATGGCTGATAGCTCCTCCATCAATTGAAACTGAAACTAGAAACCTTGGAGGTTTGGACAGTGTTGTGGGTAGGATGGATAGATCGAGGAGTGGGTGTGCATTGTGTATTCGGAGATTAGTTTGCTCAGAGAGGTGATGATATCCTACAAATTTCACAACTGGATCTATTAGATCGGAAAAAATCACTTTTGTCTTCAATTTGATCTTGTTTTATTGAATTTACTCTAAGAAATAGAAATCTAAATAATATTTGAGCTAATTTGACAATGCGCTTTAGTTTTGTCTGTGGCGCAGAGGGGAGAGGACGGTGCACGGTGTTTTGATGAAGGTTTGGTGGAGACCGGTGGCAACGGGGTGAGGGTGGGAGAAATTTTGCCCCCGTTTGATCCACATTAAAAAATTTCATTTTCATTCTTCTACTCATTTTCAACCACACATTCTTCAATAAAATAATATTTCTCATCACATCAATAAATTTTCTTTCTTTTTCAACCACACATTCTCCATCAATCTACTATTCCAAAATACATTCTTCCAAAATAATGTGGTTCAAACACACCCTTTATATGGAAGATGATGAAAGGATATATTTTTCTTTTTTATTTCCTTTCAATTTTTTGGTCTTTTTATTTAATTATTTTAGTTTTTTTGGTGAAAAAAATGTAAAGTTACCATTTTTGCCCTTTCAAAAAAATGGTCAATCTCTTATTTTTAGTCAACTAGTGAATTTTTGGACATGAACCTATCTACAGGGTCCTACAGCACATTTTTGAAAGGTTTGGGACGTATCTACTATGATTTGAAGGTTTAGAATCTATGGGACCTCAGGTGCAAATTTCCCTATTTGCAACTGTCTCGTTCTAGCTTGGTCTAGATGCAGTAACAATTTTTTTAAACAGAGTAGAACATTAACATGTCTAGAGGCACACTACGGTACAAAAACAAGTACACTTCTTTTTTATTGTTTACTTTTCTATGGATTATCGAAATAATATACTGGTCTGATAAGCTCCAACAAGCTATGATCAGTCAGTTAAAAATATGCAGACATGGTTACAAAATTAACACTGAGCACTCGCACAGTAGGACAGCATCAATCTCCAATACTTTCATCATATGGACAGCATCATGCCTTTTTGCTCAATATGTTAAGATCAATCACCTAGGATAGTTAGTGTATATCTAATCTAATCTTAGAGCATTAGATGCTTCCAAGTCCTTTTTCCTTTTTCGTCATCAGCCAAGATAGTGACTAGCTGGTCGTCGATAATGAACTTTACCCTTTGGTGCAGCGTAGATGGGCCTGGGGAAGGGCCCTCAGACTACACTAGGAAGTTGCTTGCACAGTGTAAAACTCAAATACCTGGAGAAATTCAAGATATTGGGGCAACTGGCCTAGAAGCTTGAGATTGATCGGTATTTGAACCAAGCTGGAAGTCGTGTAATTGGATACTCGAGTTCCGGCAGTAGGGAGTTACAGGCCAACAGTGGTCAGTGAGAAATGAATTTTGTAACTTTGGATAAACAAACACAGATTTAGAAGTTGTTCATGCAAAGAACCTTCCTTATATACATTGAATAAGGATTTTTCCAGGTTAGTCATAGGAAATTTTTCATATAGAGATAAAAAGCTCAATCAATAAGAGTGAGGAGTGCATTTTTGGTGAAAGAAAATCAGGAGTGGAAAGAGAAAATCCCTATCTAAGAATCAATGGGGAGAACAGAAGGACAAAAGGAAAGGCAAATCAAAACCTGCTGAAGGTGGTGACCAAAGCTACTAGGGTGAATGCCCAAAGGGCAAGTAAAGATGCAACCACTAAGAACGTCTCATGAATAATGTAGTCTTTAATGTCATGGGCTTAAACATGAAAGAGGAATACAGAGATGATGGATCCTGATATTCTCCTAACAATCAAAGTTTTCAAAAAGACTGACCAGATGTAAAAATTGTAAATTGACATTAGGCAATTTTTAATACTCTGTAGAGAAGTTAGAAGAAATCATGGAAGACCCCCAAATCTCAAAGAGTAGACACGGACCAATTATGTATCTGATGTTTTAAACAGATAAAGCAAATAAAGGTGAAATACAAATGCTATACCTTAGAGGATGGAGGGGGCAGAGAAGCCTGACGCACAGCCTTTCCTGGTTCTGTTAGCTGCTGAATCTCATGAAGCTGGCGTGCTATATTCTCCAAAAGTTCCATCTGTACTCTTTCCCTTTCACGATGTTCAACAGATATGCTAAGTTTCTCTCTCCCCTCCTGCACAGTTCTTAATCTTTCTCGAAGCCTGATAATTTCGCTGTCAATTTTTAACCTTTCAGTATCCACAGCAGACATGGAACTCCTCCGCATATCTGAAAGCGAAGGTTTACACCTTGGGCCCATTGGTGGAAACCCATTAGTAATGACTGAACTGCTTCTCTTAATGCCTAGTTCAGTGTTCAAACCACTAGTACCTGAACAGTCAGTGATAGCAACAACCCTCTTTGCAACAGAGGCCTCCAAGGGAATATCACTTTTCCTATCAGCTTCTGAAGTATCAGTGACCAAAAACTGCTCACCTTTGCTTCCATTTTCGTAACTACATAAGTTTGATCCATTGCCAATGACATGAACATCATAGACATGAGAGTCGTTATCAAAAACTAAATTACATGAATCATGAAATCCATGATGTGCATCTTTCCTATGCTGCTTCAAATGCGGAGCATCATATGGATCACCTGTCTCAGTTCCATTACTAGTGTCTATCTTATTTTGGCCTAGGTTGAAGTTCTCAGTTCCCTCATGCTCTTTCCCTACTAAAGGGATAGTTTTCTCTGGAAAATTAATTCCTCGAGGGTCCCTTGGCGGCATGTACAAGTTATCATCCATGGATATCATCTCTTTCTCCTTAAGCTCCACGGTGCAATCACTACTGCATATTGACATCCACATAGGTAGTCTGCCTAAGTCCTCTTGTTTCTGGAAGCTAGCATTTCCGCACGATCCTTGAACTGAGGATTCATTTCTAATAACTAGTGTACAATTCTGCTTATCAGTAGATACACTATCATCTGAACCTTTGTTTTCTATCATTACCTTCTTGTCAATAGAAGCGCTAAGCTCATGTAGCATCAGAACAGGATCCTCGTTTGGATCAATCAAAGAATCAACAGGTAGTTGAGGATCATATTTCTCCTCGCCATCATGAGCTATCTGTTTGTCTCCAAGACAATTCATCTGCCTGTACACTTCAACTTCCTTTTCTAAAAAGTGCTTCTCCCTCTCTCTTCTCACCAGGATCTCTTCCAGGATGTTCATTTCTTCAGCATCGTAAGCAGATTTTTCTTCTAATATCCTCTGGTATTGCCGAGCTTCCATTTCTATGGATGCCTTCTCCTCTTGTAGGCGCAAAATCATAGCCATAGCCTCATCTGCAGCAATTGCAGCAGCACTTCTTTCCTTTTCAAGCTCATGGTAAAGAGCCAAACCAGCAGCATGCTCTTCTTCAAGCGCCCGTTTTAAGAACCTTATTGCATTTTCCTCATCCCCATTGGAACCCAGGTCCCCTTGGTCATTTTCTTTAAGATCTTGAACTAATGGTACATTTTCCTTTATGTGCATATCTTCACCAGGGCATTTATTCAATTGAATACTGTCAAAAATTCCCTGCCTCAATCCCATGATTGTGGGAGCCTTCTCATCATCTAAGTTCATGGATAAGACGTAGTTTTAGCATGTGTGAACCATAATTATATATAATACTGCATACTTGGATCCTTTCAGTTCATTTCCATTTCAGAACTTCCAAGATCTCAAAAAATCAATTCATCGTACATCAATGCATGTATTAAATATTCCTGATTGAAAAGCAAAGCTGCAAGTAATCTTTTAAGGCTTGAAACAATCAGAGATTACAAAGAATTTCTTGGAAAAATTTACAGGTTAGATAAGAGCTAAATCTTTGTGTTACAAAATGTTACATTGCAGACTGTATCAACTTTGTTATCCACACACTAAAGATGGCCTCTGTTGCTAAGAGTTTCATTGGGACTTAAAAAACATAATGGCAGAACTACTCTATGAAAAAAATTTACGCATTGACATTCAAGATTCGTACACCTTCATCATATGATTCCTCCAGGTTCATTCTTGCACATATGCAAGCCATTATATTCTGATCTGAGGCATGCAAGCTTGTTTACTCAAATTGTTTTACACTTTCAAACAACCATGTTAATCGATCTTATTTAACACTTACAAACTGGTATTTTATTTAAGTTCTGCTCCATATACAAAATCCTGATGCTTATTCCTTCTGAAATTACAAATGACTTCTTCTTTGCTATACTTTGTGATACCGTGTGCTGGGAAGTTAAAGGACATATATAAGACAAATATGGCAAAGAATGAAGACATTAAAATGGATTTGGTAATATGCTAGAATGGGTTAAATAAAAAATAAAAATATATGCCAGCAAGTGAAGGCTGTAACGCCCCGAAATTTTATGGAATAGAAATTTTTGGTCTAGTCAAGTCTTTATGCAAGTCAATTAGTTATGCCTAATATCTAATTTGGATCTATATGACTATCCTTATAGTTGAGGGAACAAAGTGGAAATAAATATAAATTTTATACTTTTATTTAATTGAGTCAAAATGGTTAACTATAGAAGCTGTCCACCTTTAGCTCTCGGTTTTGATAAAAGATACAGACTTCTTTTATAGAAATCAAATAAGAGATTGACTATTTAGTTATTTAAATTGTTTGTTAGTGTTGAAATAAAAGAATAAGAAGGCTTAACTATTGTGTTAGCCTCTCACACTATTTATAATAAAAACTTAGGAAACCCTAGGTATTACAAAAAAGCCTTAAATACCCTTTTAACACCTACTAATGTTAATACCACACTTGTTCTACTTAATTCAAAACTCACCTCTGTATCAGGTTCCTTCATTTCATTTTCCTGTTCAAATGAAACACCAGTTTCCGTCTTTGCAGCTGTTAAAACGGTGAAGTTGTCCTTTGCTCCAGAATCAGCTTTGATGATCTGTGTTGAATTATCGACACATCCATCATCCACTGGATAGCTGTCCTCTACCTGTACGTTGAATGGTTCTTGCTTGAGAAAACTCGCCAAGAGTTCTTCTTTCTTTAAGAGCTTGAAATCCAAATTTAATTATCATAGAAGTTGAGAAAATAATCTAATGGTTAACCTCTTGACTGGGGTATTCAGTTATATTCCTCTCTCCTTCAAACCTTTCTGCAACTTTTTCTTCCAGAATGGATGCTACAGAAACATGCTGATTCCTGTTCTCGTCCAATTGGATAATCTTTTCAATGTTCTCACTGGGACGAGAATCCTCAAGTTCTGTTGTCTGTTTAAAGAGAACTGTGTTAATAAAGTATAGAAGAAGGGTCAAAAGTTCAGAGAGAATTAATTTGACTTTCCAGCATCCCTAGCTTTATTTCTACCTCTTGACAAATATTAATAGGTTCATCAGCTGTAGCTTCTGATTGAACGGTGGTATCGTGATCCCTGTCCATCATCCGTGTTTCAATATCATCAGACTTACTGGTCATCTTTTGATCATCATTCATCTCTTGGCCAATCTTAATCGTCTCATCAGCTGTAGCTTTTGACTGATTGGTGGTATCGTGCTCCCTTTCAATCATCTGCGTTTCAGTTTCATCGGGCTTACTGATCTGCTTTTGATCATCATCCACCTACACAAACAGTGCCACAACAAATTGACTAGAAAGAAGTTGGAACTTGGAAAAGTTTCAGAACCATTTAGATAACAACTTTTGGCGTCTAACCAAATATTCAGATGAACTTATATGTAGAGATTCCCATAAACCCCGTAATAGTTATTATCTTACACCAACAATGTAATTTACCTGAGTTTCTGTTTCTTTGATCTGGTCTTCTGTTACTTCATGTGATGCCTCAGAATCATCTGGATCTTCTAGACTGTTAATCTGATCTCCTTCTTTGCTACATATATTATTACTGTTGTTGACAGGAGCATCCATTAAGGGACCATCATTATCTTTTCCTTCTTCCAGTGGATGAGTAACGTTCAAATCCTTCTTCCATTCGATGTTCTCACTGGAATAAGTAACCTCAAGTTCTGTTGTCTGTTTAAAGAGAAAGTATTAGTGAAGTGTAGAAGAAGTATTTACATATACAGCATATTATCTCCTCGAGTGAAGCTAAATTAATTTGACTTTCCAGCATCAGTAGCTCTGTTTCTACCTCTTGGCAAATCTTAGTCTGTTCATCAGCTGTGGCTTCTGATTGAATGGTGGTATCGTGTTCCTTGTCCATCATCTGTGTTTCAATATCATCAGGCTTAGTGGTCATCTTTTGATCGCCATTCATCTCTTGGCCAATCGTTTCATCAGCTGTAGCTTCTAAAACAGTGGTGATATCGTGCTCCCTTTCCATCATCTGTGTTTCAGTATCATCAGGCTTAATGGTCATCTTTTGATCATCATTCACCTACATAAACAGTGCCACAACAAATTGACTAGTAAGAATTTGGAACTTGGAAAAGATTCAGAAGCGTTTAGATTACTACTTATTGTGTCTAACCAAAGAATCGGATAAACTTACATGTAGAGGTTTCCATAAAAACTTGTTCTAGTTATTATCTGACCAAGGATGTAATTTACCTGAGTTTCTGTTTCTTTGATCTGGTCTTCTGTTACTTCACGTGATGCCTCAGAATCATCTGGATCTTCTAGACTGTTAATCTGATC